TTTGTTGTTATTTCTTTGTGGTCTGATTTATGTACATGGTAAATTTTTATAAATGCTCCCAAATGCTTGAAAGATGGTGGCATAGGTAAATGCCAGTACTTGGTGCCTCCCACAACCACATCAAAATTACAATTAAAATGCAGAACAACCATAATTCAGAACCACCTGAAATAGGACTGAATGGAAACCTTACAGCTAAAGAAATAAAGAAGAAAACACATTGAGATGGTAAATGGGAGGGAGGCTTCCAACACCCACTTGTGGTGGTTTCTTTAATTAGGAAGGATATCTCGGTTGTGAAGACCTCCTGTAAGGAGCAAGGAGTACCAGCCCCACACTATACCCTCAGCACAGGCTTCTAGTGCTTGGAAGAGAAATCCCCATAACTTTAGCCTGTAAAAACCAGCGAGGATTGTGGCTGAGTGACATGGAGGCTGTCAGAATCCTAGCAGTTCCTCTTAAAGGGCCGTGCACAGACTTACTCAGACTTGCTTCAAGTCCCAGTGCTGGGTAGTGGCTTGGGGGAGGAATCCAGGGACACCAGAGAGGAACTGGATTGTCTGGCATTGCTGCAAGAACTCCGGGGCGGTTTTTTCCCCAGACAGAAGTGCCAGAGGGTTCACTGTTCCTATGCTGAGACCTCCCCTGTCACAGAGCTGACTGGCAGCCATATCTGAGTCTCCATCAATCTGGCTCACACTGTTCACTTTGCCCTGGTGATTATGAGACCTTGCTCCATACAGTTTGCAACCCCACCCAGGCTGTTTGCAGCTGCTTTTCCATATGAATAGCCTGTCCTGGCTCAGGCTTTGCTTAACTCTTCCAAACAAGCAGCAGCTGGTGTCAGCATGCCCCATAACTCTCAGTAAAAGGCCCAAGTCCTAGCATTAGAACCAGTGTGCCTTGCTTCACAGCTTGGCCTCGCCTGGCACTTCCAAGCCCAACATGAGTAGCATCCATCTGCAGATAACTCTAGCTTCTGCTGGGAGGTCCCAGAGCCAGTGCACCCAATGGACAGCTTCAGACCATACCAGATTACAACTCTACACATCCACCAGCTACACATTCATGGCGCAGACTCAGTGAGTACCAGAGTCCCACGGAAGCAAGTTCTGCTCCATAGGGACTTGCACAGCAGCTCTCCCACTATAGTTGTAGTTGGTCCTCACAGCCAGTGGACTGGGAGTCAATTCCAGTGATGCCAACAGCAATCAAGGCTCAACTACAATAAGACTGTGCACACAATCCACACAGGGGCATACCTAGAGTGACCAGCTCAGGTGACTGGGGAAGCTAAGCCACTGTGCCCTACAGGACACCTACTACATAAGGCCACTCTGCCAATTCCAGGAGACATAGCTGCTCTACCTAATACATAGAAACAAACACAGGGAAGCAACCAAAACGCAGAGACAAGCCTTTCACAAATGAAAGAACAGAAGAAACCTCCAGAAAAAGAACTAAATGAAATGGAAGCAAACAATCTACTAGATACAGAGTTCAGAACAATTGTTATAATGATGCTCAAGGATCTTAATGAGAGCTTCAAGGGACTTAGAATTTCAAGAACTTTAGTGAGAGCATCAAAGATGAAAAAGGGAGTCGCCGCCGCAGGCCGGGAAGCGATGTAGGAGCCGCAGCCCTTCTTGCCCCGCGTCCCACCGGCTGAGCCCGGGCCCCACCGCCGCCATGAAGAAGCAGTTCAACCGCATGAAGCAGCTGGCCAACCAGACCGTGGGCAGAGCTGAGAAAACAGAAGTCCTCAGTGAAGATCTGCTACAGGACTGGAAGTTTTCATTAAGGATTAGAAGACCCTCTCCCCCCCAAAGATTTATTAAAGAATGATAGTCTTAATATTAAAAAAAAAAAAAAAAAAAAAAGATGAAAAAGGGCCACTTAGAAATTAAGCATACACTAACTGAAATAAAGAATAATTTACAGGGATTCAACAGTAGAGGATGCCACCAGTCAAATCAGCAATTTGGAATATGAGGAAGCAAAAAAATCAGAAGGGCAAAAAGAAAAAAGAATCCAAAAATATGAAAATAGTATAAAGACCCTCTGGGACAACTTCATGTATAACAACATTTGTATTATGAGGTTGTATTATGTGGCTGCCAGAAAGAGAAGACAGAGAGCAAGATATTAAAAACCTATTTGAAGAAATAATGACAGAAACTTTACCCTACCAGGTGAAAGAAATAGACTTACAAGTCCAGGAAGCTCAGAGAGTCCCAAATAAGAGGAACCTGAAGAGGCCACACCAAGACACATCATAATTAAAATGTCAAAGGTTAAAGACAAAGAGAGAATCTTAAAAGCAGCAAGAGAAAAGCAGTAAGTTACTTATAAGGGAGTTCCCATACAACTGTCAGCTGATTTCTCAACAGAAACTTTGCAGGCCAGAAAGTGGCAAGAAATAATCAAAGTGATGAATAGCAGGGACCTACAACCAGGATGACTCTACCCAGCAAAGCTATTATTCAGAATTGAAGGTCAGATAAAGAGCTTTACAGACAAGAAAAAGCTAAAAGATTTCATCAATACCAAACCAATCTAACATGAAATATTAAAGGATATTCTTTTTAAAAATATATATATATATTTTTTATTGATTTTTTTACAGAGAGGAAGGGAGAGGGACAGAGAGCCAGAAACATTAATGAGAGAGAAACATCGACCAACTGCCTCCTGCACACCCCCCACCGGGGATGCGCCCACAACCAATGTACATGCCCTTGACCAGAATCGAACTTGGGACCCTTCAGTCCGGAAGCCGACACTCTACCACTGAGCCAAACCGGTCTCGGCTTAAAGGGTATTCTTTAAGAGAAAGAATAGGAAGAAAAAAAGATAAAAATACAATAAAATGGCAGTAAATACATATCTATCAACAATTGATTCTACTAGTAAAAATCAAAATAAACAAGGAGTCTAATGAACAAACTAAATTCGTATAATAAAAACAATATGCAAATCAACCAAACAGCAGAACTACAGTGTTATGATGCTCAATGCAGGAGCTGCCCCCGGGGGTCAGTGCACTCCCACAGGGGGAGCACTGCTCAGCCAGAAGCTGGGCTCACAGCTGGTGAGTGCAGTGTGGTGGCAGGAGCCTCTCTCACCTCCAGGGCAGCACAAAGGACTGGGATGGGCCTAAGCTCGCAGGCGGACATTCCCCAAGGAGTCCCGGACTGCAAGAGGGTGCAGGCCGGGCTGAGGGACACCTGCCCCCCCCCGCCCCCCCGTGCATGAATGTTATGCACCAGGCCTCTAGTTCATGGATAAAATAGAACTAGAGGCATGGAAACATTGAATAGAATGGATAATCTCCAAGGGACGGGAAGGGAGGATGGGAAGAGATTAAAGAACCTATAGATGCAGACAGTAGGGTGGTGAAGAACTGGGTGGGAACTTGGAAAGAGGGACAATGCAGGGGAGGGGGGAGACTCTGTAAGTACTCTCAGCAGTATAGAAAATTGAAATAAATAAATAAATAAATGTCCCCAGCCTAGCAGTGTGGCTTAGAGGTTGAATGTTGACCTATGAACCAAAAGATCATGGTTCAATTCCCGCTCAGGGCACATGCCTGTGTTGTGGGCTTCATCCCCATGGAGACATGCAGAAGGCAGATGATCAATGATTTTCTCTCATCATTTTTTTTTTAAATATATTTCATTGATTTTTTACAGAGAGGAAGGGAGAGAGATAGAGAGCTAGAAATGTCGATGAGAGAGAGACATCGACCAGCTGCCTCTTGCACACCCCCTACTGGGGATGTGCCCGCAACCAAGGTACATGCCCTTGACCGGAATCAAACCTGGGACCTTTCAGTCCGCAGACTGACGCTCTATCCAGTGAGCCAAACCGGTTTTGGCTCTCATCATTTTTTAAAAATATATTTTTATTGAATAAGAGTGGTGAAAGGGGACATCCCTGTCTTGTTCCTGTTCTTAGGGAAAAAATATATTTTTATTGATTTCAGAGAGGAAAGGAGAGGGAGAAAGCGATAGAAACATCAATGATGAGAAAAAAACATCAATCGGCTACCTCCTGCATGCTCCACACTGGATTGAGCCCGCAACCCAGGCATGTGCCCTGAGCAGGAATTGAACCATGATCTCCTGGTTCATAGGTTCACATTCAATCTCTGAGCCACACTGGGCAGGCTTCTTTATCATCATTGAGGTTTCTGTCTCTCACTACCTCTCTGAAATAAATTTAAAAAATATTTTCAAAAAATAGATGCCCCCAAATGCTTAAAATGAATGTGAATCCTCCCATTATTTGGTGTACTATTCTATACAAGTACTAGTAGCCCAGTGCATGAATCTGTGTGTCTGTAGCTCACCAGTAGCTTGCTGCCGCCCTCCAGTAGCTCTTAGCCTGCTGCCCCAACCTCCTGTAGCTCCCCGCCCCCACCCTCTTTCCCACTTCCCCCCGTAGCTTGCTGCCCCAGCCCCTTCCTGTAGTTTTCCACTTGTAGCTTGGTGCCCCACCCTCCTGATCCGGTCGTTAAGGGGACACATAATGCCCATTTGCATATTACATCTTTATTATATAGGATTATGTTTTATAAGCTCTCATGAGACCAAATTTATTAAATACGCTATTCACACGTGCCACTTGGTTACTGGTTTTTGTCTGTTTGACCTATTCAGTTATACACTGATGATCAATTTATCTGTTTTTCCTTTGTAGCTCTGTCCATGTCTGTTTTATATTTTGAGACTGTGTTATTAGCTACATAAAGTTTAGAAATGTTATATCTTTCTGATGACTAGTACCTTTTATGATTATGGAGCATCCTTATCTCTGTAATACTTTTTATCCAGTAACAGTATAATCAAACTAGTTTTCTTTTAGTTAGTGTTTACCTAGTATATATTTTCAATCCTTTGATTTTCAACCTTTTTTATTTCCTGTGTTTTTCAGTTTAAGGTGATAACTACCCTCTATTATTGGTCTCCCTAAATGTACTGTTTTGCCTTCTCTCCTAGCGGGAGTACATACCTGTGAAAGTAAAGAGCAGAGCCTTCTGGATCTTCTCTTGGGAGTATGCCATGATGTACGTGGGAAGCCTAGTGGTAATCATTTGCCTCTCCTTCTTCCTTCTCAGCTCTTGGGATTTCATCCCCGCAGTCTACGGCTTCATGTAAGTAGTGACCTCATTAGAAAACTTTGGAAGCTAGTTTGTTTTTCACAACTCCAGCTGGAATCTGAGTGTGAGCAACCACAGGGAGCATCTGGACCCATGGTCTTCAGCTTTAGAACGCATCAGAATTACCTCAGGGCTTGCTAACACCCCGTTGCTGGGCCCCACTTCTAGAGGTTTTAAGTAAGTCTGAGGTAGGGACCAAGAATTTGCATTTCTAACAAGTTTTCAGCTGATGCTGTTCGGCTGGTCCAGGAAACACACTTTGAGGACGACTGGTAGAGCATATATTTGATCTAATGCACTCTCCAGGAACATCCAAAGCGACCACCAGCCTCTGCCTAGAAGGTTTTGGTTCAGACCCTAAGAGGAACGGATGTATTCCTTCACGGCAAGAGGGTCTCTTTAAAATAAAGCCACCTCCCATCTGTCAACCTTTTTAGAAAAAAATCAAAATGTGTTTGCAGTAAGAATTCTGCAGACATTTCCAGTGCTCTCTGGATGGCATACTAAAGCCCAGGCTTCCGGGAGCTCACAGTCCAGTGGGGGGGTAGACACTTACACCAGGGGAGAGGGGATCTGGAGCGGCAGACTCCCCTTTGGGAATCTGGGCTGCTAATTTGTGTTAAATCCTGGCTGAATATAATAATATCTTAGTAACTTTCAGCTCTTCATGCTCTGCCTTGAATAGGTATTTGTAACACCTCGGATAGGAGTGAAATCCTCTCCTGGTTTCCTGCTGGCCACAGACTGTTATGTATCTCATTTGACAGACAAGGAATTGTAGTTACAGCAGAAGGCAAAGGCCTGCCCCGGGGGCAGCTGTGTTAGTGAAATCTGACCACGAGTGCTTTCCTCATGTTCTTCATGCTCCATGTGTTCCCCTTTTGAAACTGTGAATGACATCAGCTTTCACTCCATATTTTTTCAATAAAAAATATAAAGTAAATTTTTAGAAGAGCCAGAATTACAGCCAGTTTTTATCTGATACAACTCGACAAAAAGTTTTCCAGTTAAACCCGCACTTCTCAAATGAGGTCTGGTATCCTCGCCAGAACCTGCTGGTGATTCCTCAGCCCCTAGAAGTCTCTCTGCAGTGTGGCTCCTGCTGTGGGATGCGGAGCAGGAATGGGGAGGAGCAGAGTCTTCAAGCTTGTTTCTCTAGACAGGTCTTTGGAATGCCCAAATAGCTCTTGTTCATGGAGAACCCATTCCTTTTTTGTTACAGTACTGAGTAAATCCTAATTTTAAACATGTATGTCTTGGCAGTACAATAGGGGCTGGTCTTTTGATTTCTAGCATGAATCCCTGCCTCATTTCAGATATTTGATACATGCCAGAGTCTGGCTCAGCTGACATTTATTATAGGTTGTCATTCTCTGTCCTTACGTTTGTTAATTAGCTATATCCAGGGTGCCTATGGAGCCCCTCACATCCCGATCTCTGTGGAGACAAAGTCATCTTCACAGCCCCGCAGTGATCAGCGTCTTGAGGATAAAACCAGACCATTTATAACGTGGCTCTCTTTTTTCTCTCCCTTTGTTTTCTTCTCTCCAGACTTTCTGTGCCAGACCTCACTCCAAACATCGGTCTTTTTTGGTACTTCTTCGCGGAGATGTTTGAGCACTTCAGCCTCTTCTTCGTGTGTGTGTTTCAGATCAACGTCTTCTTCTACACGATCCCCTTAGCCATAAAGCTGAAGTAAGTGGCGGGCCTGCTCCCTCTCTGTTCAAAGAACCATGTGTAGCCTGGCAGGTGCCTTTCAGGTTGGGAGCATCTGCTGTTAGGTTTCTGCCATCTTTGCCAGGGAGCCCTGCCCTCAGCCGCCCTGGGTGTCAGTAGCCATAGCCAGCAGTGGAGTCACACACAGTGCAGGCTGCAGGGAGCACCCTGGTATTTCTCCTCTGGGGCACCTGCACCCACACTCACTGTTCTGGATAACAGCATAGGTTGGAGTCGGAGGTTGTCTTTGGAAAAAGTGAATCTTGTTGGGTGTCCTTTATCGGCAGCCCAGTGACAGTTTGCCAAAGGGGACTCGAGATGCGGTAGATGGCCCTAACAGGTTTGGCTCAGTGGATAGAGCATCAGCCTCTGAACTGAAAGGTTCCAGGTTCGATTCCGGTCAAGGGCACGTACCTTGGTTGCAGGTACATCCCCAGTAGGGGGTGTGCAGGAGGCAGCTGATCGATGTTTCTAAACATCGCTCTATCCCTCTCCATTCTTCTTTGTAAAAAAATCAATAAAATATATAATTTTTGTTTAATCTTCTCATCAATTTCCCTCAAAAGGGTTGTCTGTGGAGCTCTCTTCTGCAGTATGACAGAGCTAACATAGGCTAACTTGCTCCATCCCAGGCACCGTTCTCCGTTTTCTGAAAGGTATTCATACCTAACCCTTCCTGTAGCTATTGGACGGAGGCATTATTTTACAATCATCACTCCCATGGTATACTTGAGGAAACTGACATTCAGAGAAGTGGAGTGATTTTCCCAGAGTCACACAGCTTTTAAGCAGTGGAGCTGGGATCCAGACTCAGGTTTGTCTGGCTCCAGAATCTATGCTCAGCCCCTTGATCTGAGAGAGATCACTTATAGTAGCCCCTGGAAATAGTTCTATTATCTTAGCTTCAAAGAAGGGAAAACAGTTACAGCTAAGCCTGGATGGTCCGGGAAGGCTGGGAGAGTTTGATTTGGATTTCAAGAGCTTGAGTTCTCTGCTCTAATCTTCCTGCTGTTCCTCATGGCCAGTGAACCAGTCCCACTGGGTAAAAGCTCAGAGCTGATGCTTCCTTCTCATGACAGCCTTGGCCTGGCATCTGACAGGAATCCATCCTTCCCTGGCCTAGGCTCCAGCACGCTGGCAGCCTTACCCAGGCAAGCTCTCCAGCTGCCTCTGGACCACATTCCTTGCCCTTGTTCTTGTCAGGCCCGGCCGCTGGGCTGAGGGAAGTGGGGAGCCCAGGGCATCTCTCCTCACTCTGTAAAGCTAGCTCTCTGCCAGCTCTCCTCATCAACACGTGAGAGGCCACAGACAGCTCCTAGTTAGACAACAGCACCACCCCCACGGGCTCAGAAGCAGGAGGCAGAGGATCGGAAGCTCCCTGCGGGGTGCGTCAGTGTGGGACCACCTGTCTCTGGGCAGCGTCGCAGGAGGTTCTGGTCTCCATGCTTTTTGGCACTACATTTCTACTGGTCTTTTTTTTTTTTTTTTTTTTTTTTTTTTTTTAATTGATTTCAGAGAGGAAGGGAGAGTAGAGAAAGATAGAAGCATTAATGACGAGAATCATTGATTGGCTGCCTCCTGCATGTGCCCTTAACTGGGACCCTTCAGTCCACAGGCCAACGCTCTATCCATGGAGCCAAACCAGCTAGGGCTTTACTGGTCTCTTCGAAGAAATGTTTTTATCAGCCACCTAAAGTCCAAAGCCAGTGATCTGGGTTATCTTTAGGAAGATGATCACTGAGGTAGATGAACCCTTAAAAGCTACAGGGTTGCGTGACTTTGCCACGCTGAGTTTCTGTAGTTGCTCTGTAGAAGGGTTGCAGTGTTTGGGTGTGTACGTGTTTACTGGATTTTCATGTTTGTCAGATTTACACCCATTGAGTCACCCTGCCCTTTGACCTGCAAGGCAACAATGCCATTAACCTCCAAAGAAAACCTCCATGAGTTGGGCATCCAGGAACTGTGCAGATGTAAGCCCCGTGCAGGTTGCTCAGATGTAGCTAACGAGGGTGTAGACCTGGCCTCTTTCTGCTTGCTTCCCTTTTGCATGTGGTCAGCTCTTGAGGAACCCTGGAGACTGAGCTGGGTCCCCGCCCTGCCTGACAGACTGTCCTGTGTTAGGCACTCAGGAGAACAGTCTCGGGGGTGCTTAGATGTTCTGAAGACAAACAGCTCAATCACTTCCTGCTAACTCTGACTTTTCTGAACCCAATTTCCTCATCTGCTCGGTGCAGGTGACATTACCTACCTTGAGGGGCAGTCGAGGTGTAGAGAATCATGTGCAACATTGTAAGAAAAGGGCCTAGCACAAACTTAGCAGAGCAAGGGTTCAGGGAATGGTAACAAGAACTTAAGGAAACAAGAACTCCAGTTCCAGCCCTTAAGAGCTGAAAAGCTGCCCAGCTCTCACTTCTCTTTCTGGAAAAGAATTTGTCGTAGCTAAGGGGACCCAATTGCCAGAGAGGAAGCATCAGCAAGGAAGCACTTCCTGCCCTGCGCCCAGTTGTCAGCAGGGCCTCTGGCAGGGAGACTAATTACAAGCAGTCTTTAAGCCCAATCATAAAGAGCGGCTGACTTCATTTGTTTTTTTCCGTGGTGGCTCCTGGGGCTGCTGTGGGGAGTATGGTGGGAAAAGTCTCTGTGCCCTGTTTCTCCAGTGTTTGCTGAGCCCTCACCACCACCTCTGGGCATCTCTGGGTCCCCACAGGTTTTTGTTTGTTTGTTATTAAATATGTTTTTATTGATTTCAGAGAGGAAGAGAGAGGGAGAGATAGAAACTTCAATGATGAGAGAGAACCATTGATTGGCTGCTTCCTGCACACCCTCCTGCTAGGGATCAAGTCTGCACCCCAGGCATGTGCCCTGACTGGGAATTGACCTATGACCTGGTTCATAGGTTGACACTCCAACACTGAGCCATGACAGCCAGGCCACACAGTTTTGGGCTCTGCTACTTGACCTGGCCCCAGTGTCTTATGGGTAGCAGGGTCAGCCCTTGCCTGAAGTTCCCTGGAGAGTAGTTTTGGGTTTGAATGAGAGAGTCAGGAATCTCAGGGGTGAGCCTGGTGCCTGACTGATCTCTGTCTGTCTGTCTGTCCTGCCCTACTCCAGGGAGCATCCTATCTTCTTCATGTTCATCCAGATTGCCATCATCTCCATCTTCAAGTCCTACCCAACAGTGGGGGATGTGGCCCTCTATATGGCCTTCTTCCCCGTGTGGAACCATCTCTACAGATGTGAGTATTCATTCCTGCCTCTAACCCCTGATGGCAGGTACGTGTCAGCCTGGCCTCAGAGGAAGCAGCCAGGGGAAAGGAATTGAGGGGCATTTGATGGGCATCATCTGTTATGCCAACAGTACCAGGAGAGAGGCAGTGACATGAGGCACAGTAACTGCCTCCTTGGTACTATAGACTAATGATGAAAATAAAAATATCATTTATTGAGTACTTACTATGTACTTGGCCATTGTGGTCCTAAGAGTATAACATGCATGAGCTCATTTTATCTTCATGCCAGCCTTTGAGGAAAGTATCCCCATTTTGCAGATGAGAAAACTGAGGTACAGAAAGGTAGAGCCACTTGTTCAAGGTCATGTGTCTGGTTAGTGGAAGGGTTAGCATAGGAATCCAAATCTGTGAGCCTGTAGCCGGTACTGTCCAATAGGACTTTCTGTGATGATGGAAATGTCCTGTATGCACAGTTTAATAGAGTAGCTGCTAGTGTGACTAAGAAACTGAATTTTAATTCAGATTAAAGAATTAAGAAGCCATACATGGTGAAGGCTATCATATTAGCACAATGATAGACCTAGGGCTTTGAACCATTTCTAAGAACTGCACTCAGAGGTCTATAGAAAACAGATAAGCAGTACCAGATTTCCGGCCTACGTGAAGACCCCTTTAATCTCTGATCACCCCCTGCTCGGAAGATGGCTGAGTGGAGATCTAGCTAGTGGAGATCCTAGCCCCCAGTGTTTCCCTAAGTGTTTGTGGGCTCTGTGGCTCATGACTCACTTATCTCCAACACCTAGGATCAAACCTGACACACAGCACAGCTCGGCAAATGCTTGTGGATGGGGGTTTTAAACCCCTAATAAAGAGGCCGTGTCAGCGGCCCAGCACCCCGATTCTCTAACCAGAATGGAAAGGAAGCTGTTGGACTTTCCTCGCTTACAGTGGGTGTGTAGCAAGGTGTCAAGAATGAATCCTGAAGGGCAGGCTTGTTGTTTTGGGACTGTCTGGGAGTCAACCAGGAAGTGAAACTGCCCAGCTGCCAGAAAGAAGCCTGCCTGTAAGAGTGGCCTCTGAGGAGGTAAACAGCTGAGTGGGCGGGCCCCGCAGGCCTGCTGTGCAGGTGATGGCCCGGTGGGCGATGACCAGCCCTGCCTGACTGGGCGGAGGAAGTGGCATCCTCTGCCAGTGACATCCTCATTGCACAGATAAGAATCACCAGCCCAGCGGGCTCAGGGTCAGATTGGGGCCCCTTGGCAGAGAGTAGCTAGTGACAGATCATGAAGCCACCAAACATGTGAACATGCCCGTTTGTGACATAATGGCTCTTGGAAACATCGAACCTCTTTCCCTAAAAGTAGAGTACTTTTTTTCTTAGCTGTCTATCCTACACAGAGCATCTCTCCCTCTGCTAACACCTTTCACCCGCAGTCTGGCCTAAACGGGCCTACGTCTCATTTCTGGCTTTCCTGTGTGTTTTAAGGCAAATCATTTCATCTTTCCGGTCCTCCCATTTTTTCATCTGTCAGGTGGGGAGGGTGTCAGGAGAGTTTTAAGTTTGAGACAGTATAAATATAAATAGCGCTATAGTTATTATCAGACTAATAATTATGTGGGGAAGGAGGTCTGCTGCAGAGTTCTATGATCAAAGTTTCAGGCTTGGTAGCCAGAGTCATTCAGAGTCATTCAAATAAACATACCCTCAGAACTTGAAATAAGCTATTTTATGCCCTCTGGGGTGATGAGGCACAACAAAATAAGGATGGAGTTTCCAGGAACCTGGATGATCTAATAGATGCTGCTGCTGGCAGGCTGGGCAATGTCAGCTGTCTGAAGGCCTGCAGAGAGGGCTGGCGGCCGTCCCTCCTGCCAGTGTCCTCACGCTTGGGCACTCACGTGTCTGTTTGGGGCGTGACAGCTGTGCGTCATGACACCCAGTGAGGAGCGTCTGCAGCCTGGGCCTGAGAACATGAGTGGAGGCTTTGAGAAGACTCTAAGCCCAAGTTGAATACATCCAGACTTTTGATGTGGTTAATAATTCAGTTTAAACGTTAGTTACCAGTGCTAACACGCCTGCTCACATGTCCACCTTCTTGCTTTCCTCTCCTGCTCAGCGGGGAGAAGAGGCCCAGGGGCCCTCCCCGGAGTGGAGGCCCCAGACGCACCAGGGCTCTGCGGTGCCGGGCCAGGATGAGTCACAGGACACACAGCTGTGGTGTTAGGGAGCAGCCTGCTGGCGGAGCCCTTGCCACCTGCCGAGGTCCAGCTGAAAAAGCCAGTTACCAAAGGGCTGGATTTTGTGTGTTTTACTTTGTTTTCTTTGACTGTTATATAAATATAAAATACTATTGATAAAAAATATATAAATTATAAAAGAATAATAATACAATAAATTTCCATGTACCTAGCACCTAGTTTAAGAAAGGGAGTGACACCCTAGCTGGTTTGCTCAGTGGGTAAAGCATCCCAGGTTCAAGAGTCCCAGGTTCAATTCTGGTCAAGGGCACGTACCTCAGTTGCTGGCTTCATCCTCAGCCTGGTTGGGGCCCGTGTGGGAGGCGACCCATCGATGTGTCTCTCTCACATTAATGTTTCTCTCTGTCTCTCCCTCTCCCTTCCACTGTCGTAAAAATCAATGGAAAAATATCCTTGGGTCAGGACTAACATTAAAGAGAGAGAGAAAAAAGGAGAAAGGGAAGGGGGGGAGGGGAAGGAGGGAAAAGAAAGGAGGAAAGAAAGAAAAGGAAGGGAAGGAAGAAAGGAAATGACCCCATGACCTTTGAAATCCTTCTGTTCCTCCCGATGGGACTGGAATTTTGTTTCTGAACGTCTGAGGCTTAGAGAGAGAGTGACTTGCCTGAAGTCTCGGTTTGTCAATAGTGGAGCCAGCGATTGGAGAAGCCAGCCCAGTGAAGGTAGTAGGAAACCTGACTCCATCTGGCCCGGCAAGTCTCATGAAGGGTGAACCCTTTCGTCTCGCTGGGCCCTGGTCACCGCTGACATCTCTGACACCTCCTGGTGCCTGGAACAAGCTGTCCTGTGCCCTGGGCCCCTCCGCATCTTCTCTGGCATCAGCTCTAATCCTCTGGCCCGCCAGCCGGCAGGAGCGCGGAGCAGCTCCCAGTCCTGAAAGGTCACCCAGGCCAGGAGCCAGCTGGATGCCGGTGGCATTTCCGCCAGGCACATGGGAATGTGTCTTTGCAGGTCTTCATAACTGCACCAGGAGCTGCTGTGAGCCTCTCTCAGGCTCTGTGCACTAGGTCACCTTGTCGCCGGATCTGAAGTCCAGAGAGGCTTTAGGCATGGAATAAAGACCCTCCTGGGCTGTCAGGCCACTAGAGTTCTCTTTCAGGAAAAATGTATGTCCTTTCTAGCAAAATAATTTCCAGAGAGCGAGAAAGAACACTGAAATGTAAATAGTGATATTGAAGTGGAGCAATGATAAATAGGTCTATTACTTCTCAAGGCTGTAACATTGCTTAATAATAACAACATCAACAATAATAATTCTCAGTGCACACGTTCCTTTTCCAAACTTCCTGTTCTGGGAGAGAGGATGAGAGGTCTCAGAAAGGCTTTAACCTGCCAGCTGTGAAAGCCCAGAATCCTCTGGAAATTTCACATCATAAAAGAGGACCTCCGAGCCCTCCAGTCCATTCTAAATCGTGGGATTTCAGAAAGTTGCCAACTTTTTATTTTACTGATGACATTAAGTCAACTACCAGCCCTTGCCAGTGTAGTTAGATGGGTTGAGCATTACCCAGTGTGCCAAAATGTTGCCAATCTATCCCTTATCAGGGTGCATGCGGGAGGCAACCAATGGAAGTTTCTCTCTCTAAAATCAATATAAACATGTTTGTTTGTTTTTTTAAAAACAGTCAACTACCAACCATTCATTTCCATTTCATAAAAGAGAGGGCTTTTTACAAAAGCAACAACTAGCAACCAAAAAACGTGTCATTTCTCAAAGGGAATGAATCATAAATTGAAAGCATTCAGCTTTCATAAGAGCTTTGAACTACCGTATTTTTCGGACCATAAGATGCTCCGGACCATAAGACGCACCAGTTTTTAGAGAAGGGAAATGAAGAAAAAAAGATTCTGAAACAAATAGTGTCCTAAAATATTTTATGTGCATTAAAACCCAACATCACAGTCATAAACACATGTAATCAACCCTGTAAAGTAAACAGCAGCATTTAGAACCATTTTAGAGCCGGGCAAGCACACAGAGACCACACAGAGCCAGGCAAGTAAAAAAACTTTTTTTTTAAAGTATCGATATATGTGTAGGGTATATTTGGAACATAAGACGCAAGGACTTTTCCCCCCCACTTCTGGGGGGGAAAAAAGTGTGTCTTATGGTCCGAAAAATACGGTACTTGTCCCAGTCACGCTCCCTGCGGCAGTGATGTCTCTGTTGCAGACTGCTGTGGGTCTCCAGTGGTTCGCAGCCGTGGCTGCATATTGGAATCGGGAAGATATTTTATTTTATTTTTATGGGGTAAGCTTTTAGAAATTATGATGAACCCATCCCTTAGAGACTGATTTACTTAATGTGGCTTCCACAGATGATTTCATTTTACAACCAAAATTGAGAACCGTGTGTAAGCCATTCTTCCCAATGCATGGAGCCCCCACAACAGCATTTCAGCCAAGTCTTTGCACAGCTGATATCTGCAGCCCCAAAATTCTGACTTAGGAGAAGGGATTCCTTGAAGGTCAGGATCAGCCTGGGAAAGAGAACTGTAATTCATTAAATGCTCACCATTACCAGACTCAGTATGAAGGTTTATTTGTGTGTGGTTGTTTTTTTAATTTTGTTTTGTCTTTTTGTTAATTCTCACCCGAGGATATTTTTCCATTGCCTTTTTTTTTTTTGAGGAGGGGGGAGAGTGGAAGAGAGAGGCAAAGACAGAGAGAAATATCGATGTGAGAGAAACACATCGATTGGTTTGCTTCCAACGAGGGCCAGGGCCCGAGGAGCCTGCAACCAAGGTACGTCCCCTTGATCGTGATTGAACCCGGGACCCTTCGGTCCACAGGCCAACACTATCCACTGAACCAAAGGACGGGCCTTTTTTGTGTGTTTTTTTAAGCTATTCTTTTTTTTTTAATTGATTTCAGAGAGGAAGGGAGCGGGAGAGAGAAATAGAAACATCAGTGATGAGAGAGAATCATCAGTTAGCTGCCTCCTGCATGCCCCACACTGGGAATTGTGCCCACAACCCGAGCGTGTGCCCTGACCAGGAATCACACCGTGACCTCCTGGTTCATAGGTCGATGCTCAACCGCTGAGCCACGCTGGCTGGGCAAGGTATTCTTTTAATTAATTTATTTTAAATAATATTTGTTAGTTCACTTAAAAATGCAATGAAGTGTAAAGAATGAAATTAAAAAATTAGCATATTATATAATCTTACTTTCAGAGTTCCCCTGTTGAATTAGAAGGGGGAAAAGCACTGTGTAGTAGGGAGAATAATGTCCCTTTCACCTCCCAAAACGATCTTCACATAATTCCCCAAACCTGCGACTGTATCGTCTTCCATTGGCCCAGAGACCTGCAGGGGAGAGTGTTCTGGAATGTCCAGGTGGGCCCAATGTAATCAGGTGGGAGCCAGGGGCCCATGGGAAATCTCTGAACCTTCCTCTCCATTTTGCTGAGAATCCACAACTGCTCTAAAAATTCGTCTGTTTTTTGTTTGTTTTAATCCTCACCCGAGGGTATCTTTTCCATTGATTTCTAGAGTGAGTTGAAGGGAAGGGGAGAGAGGGGGAAAAATCTGTGTGAGAGACACAGCGATCGGTTGCCTCCTGCATGCTCACGTGCCCTACCGGTTCGGAGAGCCTGCACCTCCTCGGTCCATGGGCGATGCCCTGACCACGGAGAAAAGCCGTCGGGACTAAAGTCTGTTTTTTAAGAATGGTGAGGGCGTCAGGAGAGGACTTCAGAGTGAGGCAATGTGAGAAGGACTTAATTCAACGTTGCGGGTTGAAGAGGGAAGGGGTCATGAGCCGAGCAGGCAGGCGGCCTCTACCCACCACACAGCCAAGCAGGCGGATTTCCCCTCGAGCCTCCAGAGGGAGTGCAGCCCTGGAGGTACCTTGGTTTTTAGCTTGTGAGACCCATTATGGACTTCTGGCCTCTGGATCTGTGAGATAGTAAGTTACATTGTTTAAGCCGCTAAATTTGTGGTAATTTGTTAAAAACAATGTAATCCGTCTGTGCCAGGTTTTCCTGTTCAATCCATGTAACACTCCTATGAAATTGGCGTTTTAGTCCTGTTTTAGAGAGGGGGGAGCTGAGACCCAGAGGAGCTTGCTGACAAAGCAGGAATTTTAACCAAGGTCTCTCAGGCAGAGGCAAGCCTGCGCCCCCCTGTCGCGCTGCCTCCCCTCCCGAAGGCCCTGCTGCCTGGGCCTCGCTGTGTGCAGGCCTCCCCGGGGCTTTGCGGAGAGCTTCTCCTCACGGGATTCCGCATTCCCTCTGGGGGGTGTGATGTTGGCGGGTGTGTGTGTGTGTGTGTGTGTGTGTGTGTGTGTGTAAGAAAGAGGTGTTTAAATCACCTAAGGAAGAGTGAGGGACACTTGAAGAGCAAGACAGGAGACCTAAAACATGAATTAAGCAGAATGGAAGGTGTGTTTCTAGGACCCTCTGAGACTGGGGCAGGGAGCATGCCTTGCTGCCCAGAGGCACAGCAGGAGGTACAGAGTCCAAATCGAGGACCTCCCACTGGCTTTGGGCACAGGGAGCCATGACTCGGGTCTGAGGTTAGCACCCAAGGCCTCCGAGGAGCAGTGGGGAGGGATGTTCTGCACTGGGCTCTCCCTGGGCCTCTCCGCACACAGAGTCAGCCGCGGGCTCATTGTGACCGTCTGTCTTTGCAGTCCTGCGGAACATCTTTGTCCTCGGCTGCATCATCATTGTCTGCTCCCTGCTCTTCCCGGTCCTGTGGCACCTCTGGATTTACGCAGGGAGTGCCAACTCCAATTTCTTCTATGCCATCACACTGACCTTCAACGTTGGGCAGGTAGGAGTGAAGGGTGGCACAGAACGGGTTCGTTTTGTATTCATATGTGACCTAGGCTGTGGGTTCTGCAAACTAGGGGTTTGGATGTGAATGAGGGGACAGTTCCTCCCCTCGAGTACCTCATTGTCTGGTAGAGAAGATTGGGACTGAGCAATGGGAAAACTGCATCTGCTAACAGTAATTGGGCTTCATGCTGAGCCACTGCCTTGTTGAATTCTCACAGCAAGCCTTGGCATAGTGTTGCCCCTATTTTATAAATGGGAATCGAGCCCTGGCTGGTTTGCTCAGTGGATAGATCATCAGCCTGCAGACTGAAGGGTCTTGGGTTCAATTCTGGTCAAGGGCACATACCTCGGTTGCAAACTCCTTCCCAGCTCGGGTCCTGGTCTGGGCGTGTGCAGAAGGCATCCAGTCGATGTGTTTCTCTCACATTGATATTTCTCTCTGTCTTGCCCTCTCTCTTCCACTCTCTTTAAAAATCAGTGGAGAAGTATCCTTGGATGAAGTTTTTAAAAAACAAATGGGAATCGAGGCTCATGAAGGTTGCCTCTTGACCAAGGTCACTGGAGGAGCCAAGAACAAAATGTAGGGAAGGCTTGGTTTCTGAGACCACCCCCTTTCTGTAACAGTGCCTGGCTGCATGGCACCGAGTGAGTGCCCCGTCTGAGGGTGGGGAGGGCAGGAGCAGGGGGAGGAGAGGCTCCGGGGACAGCAGGAGCAAAGACAGGGACCTGAGGAATGGTTGGGTCTAGCTACAGGGTGAGTCTGGAGTGCAGATTGCACGGCTGGGAGTAGCAGGAGAGGAGGCCATAGGTCACTGAATGAGAAGTACCAGCCAGGAGCCCGGCCCTCCCTGACCCAGGGCAAGCCTCCCCCTGTGCTGCAGAGCAGTGGTTTCCAACAGCAGAATCACGGGGGGTGGGGGAGAGTCTTGTTAATCTGTATTGTTATATAGTTATATCTGTTACCATTGCATGGCTTTGATTGTCAGTAAAACAAGCAGATTTTCTAATCCCACTTCCACAGATGTGGTCTCAGTAGATGTGGAAAACAGTCAGAAATTTGGTTTTCACAAGCTCTTCCAGAGATTCTGTTTCAGGTGGAGAGCAGACACCTCCAAAGGTCCCTGTCCGTCGTGCTGCATCCTCTCGGGCTGGCTCTGTCCTCAGTGGAGGCCCGTGGGATCCGTTGTCGCGTTTACCATTCCATTTGCCATCGGCACAGCCAGGCGTTTCCTGTGCGTAATGGGCTGGAAGGGGGCAGGGAGCGGGGAGCCTGTGATGGACTGAGTAACCCCGCAGGAGGCCTGCCTCCAAGGTTAGCTGCTGGGAAAAAGGAGGGAGTTCGGGCTTCTGCCGTGAGTGATGGGTCTGGTATTTCCTGCATGGACATTTCTGGCCAATTAATGTCCAGCCCAGCTATTTATCTTGATTTGTGAACAACAGGAAGAGTGATGAAGGGCTGTGGCCTGGGTGGGAGCAGCCTGTCACACAGCAGTTATTGGTGGTGGGTGCTCAGCACCTCCTACCTATGTCCTGCAGGATCGACTTAGTGTCTCGGAGGAGTCTGGAGGCTGGTCCTGGCTCCTCGGTCTTTCTAAAACCCCCTTTTCCTTTGAAAGGGATGACTGGCAGGTGAGGGCATTGGGCCTGCCCTGGGAGATGGGAGCTCAGCGAGCGCCACTGGAATAGCCCCCGGCTTATCAGTCATGAGCGTCAGGTGTGGGCCGGGGGTGGGTGGGATTGCAGTGATGAAGAAGCATCCGTGGAACCTGCCAGAGAACAGCTTTCTATGTGCTGCCTTTGGCGCTTTTACGAAGCAAAGGTTGCTGCAAATGGCATGGAGATCTCGGCAAGTGGTCAAGTGCCACTAAAGGCAAGAGGAACTGAACTGTTGGGACAGGAGGATGGGACTGGGGGTGGGAAGCAAAGGCTGGGTAGATGGAGTGTGTTAATGACTCAGTTACAGTGAAAAACCAGCCTGATTTTTGGCATTGCTTTTTATCTTTAAAAATTTTTTTTAAAATATATTCTTATTGATTTCAGAGAGGACCTAAGTGAGATAGAAGCATCCATGATGAGAGAGAATCATTGATCAGCTACCTCCTGCACGCCCCTCACTAGGGATCGAGCCCGCAACCTGGGCAGGTGCCCTTGACTAGAATTGAACCTGGGACCCTTCAGTCCACAGGCCAATGCTCTGTCCACTGAGCCAAACCAGCTAGGGCTAAAATGTGTTTTAAATCATACAAGTGATACATGAGTTCATTATTACTAGGGAAAAGAAGTCAACATAGAAACATGGAATGAAAATTGGAGATCTGCCTGGCCCTAACCCTTGCCCCGTGCAGCTGTGATCACTGGGGTCAGTCTGGTGTCTGTCTGCAGACGTCCCCCATGCATTCATACACACACACACACACACACACACACACGAGCTTTTTAGTTTATATAAAGAAATCACACTTTGCACTGCTGTTTTTCACTTAGTGATCTGATCTCGTGATAATTTTTTAATGGCTCCGATATCCCACAGTTAGGCTGTACCGTGATGTATCCTGATGGAAATCAAGGTTGCTTCTGATTGTTTTGCTATAAATGGAAGAGTATTGTTTTGCGTATTTCTTCGCGTGCTCTTGTATAGGCATGCCAGTGTTTTCTTACGATAGATTCCAGGGGGTGGCATTGCTGAACAGAGGGCATCTTCATTGTACATTTGGCCAGATGCTGCCGGTTTGCCCTTCAGACGGGTCAGAACACCTCCAGGCTTCCCAGCAGCGGTCCAAGGGACTGAGCTGTGGTTTGTTCAAGCACAGCCAGCACCATGTGTCATCGGCCGCCTGGGATCCGGGCTCTGTGGCTCGGAGCCAGAGACAGCTCTGTGGGGTCAGATGCTTCCAGGGCTGCTGGCTTGGGGCTTTGCGGCTGCCACCACCAGGTCACTAAAGGGGTTTGTCAGATGGGGCCCTTATTCAGCAAGCCGGGCACTCAGTCATATTGCTGTCAGGGAGCATTGGCTGAGGTAGGAGAGCAGCCCTTGTCATGAGGGTTGTACTTACTCTGCCCTCGCACCTGTTGGTAGTCACAGGGTTTAAAGCTGAGACATTCGGAATTTTAGGATGTTAAATGTCACCTCCTCATAAGGTTCCCCTGCCCCACTGTTTGTTAGCCCCTTCATCACTCTTACCCAGCCTATAACTAGACTATTTATTCTTCTCTCTCTGCCTGTGAGCTTCCTGAAGGCAGAGATTGGCCTGTCCTCCCACTGCAGGGTCCCCAGCTACCAGCGCTTGGTTCAGGGCATTGTTTAGCAAATATTTGTTGAATGAATGAACGAACCAAAGATAGCCAGGGGGAGCATCATGTGATTAATGGACAAATGTGCAGAGTAAGCACTGGAGGAATCTGGAGGGAGCAGATCCTTTCCTGTTGTGAGTGGTCAGGGGAGGCCACAGGGAATGAGGAGCAGCAGCTGGACCTTAGAGAGTCCGAGGGGAGCACCGAGGAGGTGGCAGGAGGAGCCAGGTCACCCCAGTGGCTAAGGTCAGAGGGTGGCTGTTCTCCCACAACCCTTCTCCAGCTTCTGCCAGAGCCTGGTCTCTGGCCAGTGAAGCCGCCCCAGCACCCGCTCCTCTGCTTCAGCCTGGCCTGGAGTCAGTGCTGCCATTGAAAAGTATGGCGTTCAGGGACGTGTCCAGGCCGCAGCTAGCTCTTCCCAGCTCTCCTCGCTGGGGCGGCGCCAGAGCGCCTCCTCCTCTCCCCGGAGCTCTCCTGAGGACTGGTGAGTGGGCTTTCAGCAGGCGACCAGAGCCAGGCCGGCACTGCTGAATCAGGAGCTGAATATAGGGAACATCTTGGCCTGTGGAGTTAAGCTGCTCTGTTCGAGGTGGTCAGTGCCATGGCCTGTAAGAGAACAGTCTGTTGGTAGATTACTAGTTTCACCAGCAGCTAAACCACTAGTGACCTCGGCCCACATCCTTCCCCCTGGGCCACTAAGTGTTTTCAGCATGTGGCACGGATCATTAGCTAATTGTGCCTCAGAGTCAGTGACCAGGAAATGACAACACCCGTCCGTAGAGGAGCGTGTGTGTGTGTGTGTGTGTGTGTGTGTGTGTGTGTGTGTACACTGACATAGATTGGATGATTGAGGTCCCCCTCCACCTTCAGCAAATGATTGAGTTTCTCTGGGTGGCGTTTTCTCCCACCTCTCAGGGTGTTGAAAGAATTGGACATGTAACGTGTGGTCCTGTTGCCATTATTCATATGTTGACATGGGAAATAGCACAAACTTCCTTTTCAAATACCCAGAGCAATTTCCTAGGAAACCATCAGACCCAGCAGAACAGCCTCCCCCCCCCCAACCCCCCCAGGGCCCTTTGTTACTGACCCTGTTCTTCTGCAGGTCTTCAAGGATGACGTATAAACAAAAAGGAATGCATTTTAACTTAGCTTTTTTTCTTTTTTAGGTGAGTTTGAGAGTACGTTTATTAAGGCAGGTGACAGTGAGACAGGAAGCAGCAGTGGGAGAGCCTGGGTGGGCTGCTGTGGCTCTCTGGGAAGTCAGAGGAAAGGGGGCTTTAGGGACAGGTTCAGGGGCTTAGCCCTGGATGAACTGCTGCTGCCATTGCTCCCCTGTATGCACATCAGAGGGTCCCCGGAGTTTAGGAGATGCATGCTGGGGGGCGGGGAATGAGGGAAGAGGGGAAGGAAATGGCATGGTTGTGTTCCCCAGAGGGGGTGTGCACCAAGTTTAGCTTTTTAAAAAGAGTAAAATAAGCCAAGACCTGTTTGGCTCAGTGGATAGAGCGTCGGCCTGCGGACTGAGAGGTCCCAGGTTTGATTCCCGTCAAGGGAATGTACCTTGGTTGCTAGCACATCCCCAGCAGGGGGTGTGCAAGAGGCAGCTGATCGATGATTCTCTCCCATCGATGTTTCTAACTCTCTATCCCTCTCTCTTCCTCTCTGTAAAAAATCAATAAGATATATATATTTTTAAAAAGA